GGGGGGATGGGGGATGAGAAAGCTTCTCAGAAGAGCAGTTCTGCAGCTGAAGGAAAACGAGGTATAAAGGCTGTGGCTGGAGACGACAAGCAGCTTGCCTGGGGACCAGAGTAGCATCTTATGAGTCCAAGGAGATTTTCAGGAGCCCAGAGGCCAGATCATGAGTTCTGGGGACTGCCCAAGAGGTCTAACCTTTCTCCTGAAGGCTGCTGAGAGAAGGCACCATCTCACACAGTCCGCCATTTCTTCCTGCTCCTTTCTTCCTGCTCCATCTTGACTCTTGACACGTGCTTCTCTCTCTTTTCCTGGGTTCCAACTCCACACTGTCTAATCTGCTACCGCTCCTTGAAACTTTGTATTCCTCTGACATGACTTTGATCCTCCTCTCTGAAGCTTCTCCCCCGGGGAGAGAGATAAATACTTGCTTTTGTGCTCACCCATCACTCTCAGGCAGTACTTCCCAGAGCCTGTGGATGAATTTTCATTTTAAACCTCACCCGGGAGCCTGCTAACTGCTTGATTTCCCACCCCTGTCCCCCACACCAGGAGAGCCATGAGTGTGCTAGTGCTCTGCCAACCAGCAGCAGGGAAATAGCTTTCAGGGACCCTTCCCATTTTTCTGCTCCGAGGAAGTTCAAGAGGACAGGAGAGGGACTAGACTGAGGGATGGCAGCTGTGGGTCAGGGACAACCATGGTTTGCCACAGCCTTAAAGACAGGAAGTCAGTCCATGCTCCTGGCCTGTAGCCTCTGACTTTTACCAGCTCTCAGGCCACAAACAGCCCTCAAGGCAGAGCTGGTCAAGTCCCATATTTGCAGAAATCAGCTTCCCTGTCCAGAAATGGAAGTCGTACTGCAAATACACTTGTCCAGGTCCATTCTCAGGAGAGCCTCTTGTCCCATCAGCCCTTTGACCCTGGGGCCATGGATTCCTGCTGGGCAGCTGTGTCCAGCTGGGAGTGGGAAATAGGTGATTCAGGGTGTTTTTAAAATTCAGAAGCCTTGCTTGCCTTGTTCTTGTGACATTCTCTCTGAATTGGGCTGGTTAGCAGAGCTTTCACCCTCCCCTCCCCTGACCTTCTCATACACATTTGAAAGGGCTTTTCATTTTGGTAAATAGAGTATGAGGATTTTAGAACTATAGGAATAGGAGGTCCCTGACTTACAAACATTCAACTTAGGAAAGACTGAGATATATTATTTATAGATATAGACTTTATATAAATATAGTCTTTATAGATACGGACTGAGATACAGATAGTAGTGGAAGGCTAGAGCCCACTTGATAGCAAAGGGCTGGCCTACAGCCAGACTAGGTGCCCCCCGGAGCATGGGGTGATGGGGCCTCACAGGGCAGGGACTTCATGGAATAAAGAGGAAGATCTTTATTCTGCCACTCTGTAGAGTCCTGGGTTAGAATAAATTAAAGAACACGTTAGACACAGGACCTACATGTAATACATGCACTTGGAGTGCCAGCTGGGAATGCTAACACTCAGGTGTAACAGTAATTTTAGGAAGAACTAATTTCAAGTTTCAGACAATCCATTTATTAACAAATTTTTGAGCATAGTCCATTTATAAACTGAAGACTGCCTATAATTCTGCAAGATTTCCTCTGGGAATCTGTATCAAACCTGTAACCTAAAAACATATGATTATTGGACTTGAGGAAGCTCAATCTTTCTCTGGGAAAAGGAATTTTATGGAATGCAAGAGGAGCTGGATCCAGGCCGAAGTAAGGACCTGGCTACTCTCTCTTCTATGTCTCTTGACATAGAAGAGTTTTTCCTCTGGGAAAACTCTCTTCAACATACTCACACATCAGTGGGCTAGTTACTGTTTTAAATAAATAATACTGATGTGTGATAGAAAATTCAAAAGGTCTGCACAAAGGCAATCCAGTGAAAAACCTCCTTCCCCCTTTGCCACCTGGTTCCCCTTCTCAAGGGCAGCCACAGTCACCAGGGTCTTATAACTCCTTCCCAGAGATTCTTTTTCCTATGCTAGCATGTGTGCTGTGTATGCATTCGCTGTCCTTCTATAACTCAAATAAGAACATGCCTTGTGTACTCTTCTGCAAAGGACTTTATGCACATGTCTTTGAGTTTGGTCCATATTGATGCATAAAGGAGTTTTTAAATTCTTTTTGCAGCTGCATAGTATTCCATTGTGTGGATGAACCATGATTTAATTTTACCTGTTTTGTATTGATAGACATTCAGTTTGTTTCCAGTCTTTTACATTTACAAGTGTGCTGTAGCCAGAAAATAACCTTGTATATATGCTAGTGCACACAAATGGGAGTGAATCTGTGGGATAGTGCCCCAAAGTGGGATTTGCAAGGATCTTAACATGTCTGTCCTTTCTTCCAGGCCAAAGGATGCCATTCGAGCACTGAAGAAGCGGCTCAATGGGAACCGGAACTACAGAGAAGTGATGCTAGCATTAACAGTGAGTGCTGCTCTCCTGGAGGAGGGACAGCATCTGGGAAACTCCACACCCCACCTGGCCCCCTGACAGGGCCTTCTCTCTGCCCCCTCAGCTCAGCCTCTGAATGGCTTGGTGCCTGGGCCGCTGAAGTTCAGCAGAGCCCTCTGGTGGTGCCCTTGGACTTTCTTGTCCTCCTCTGAAACGGGGTGGCTTCAATCTGGCAAATGTATACCAGCAGAAGTGTGTAGCACTGTCAGGTACAGAAGCCCAGAGTGGAGGAGCCAAAGGCCCCCGGGTGGGCTTTCTTTTTGCCACCAGTCTGCTCTGAGACTTGGGGCCAGCTGCTTCTCTAGGTGTCAGTTTCCTGTTTATAAAAAAAAATTTTTTTTATTCAGCAAGTGAGTAGTTGTATATTCCTTAGTGGATTCCAACTTCCATGGCCAGGGCCCTGCTTATAAAAATGTTAACTTCTACCTATAGAGCATACCTGCCTGAAAGTGTACTAAGCTTTTCAAATGTTAATTCAGGTGTTTACAACCAACCTTCAAAAGAGGTTTGGTTTCCTCCTCATACAGATAGGAAAACTGAGGCTCAAAGAAGTCCAGAGGTTTACCCCGCCTTCACAGTTAGAGAAATACCAAGCTGTAGATTGCTGTCATAAAATGGTCTCTTGGGGCTGAGTGTGGTGGCTCACACCTGTAATCCCAACACATTGGGAGGCTGAAGAGGAAGGATTGCTTGAGCCCAGGAGTTCAAGACCAGTCTAGGCAACATAGTGAGACCTCATCTCTACAAAATGGTGGTTACCTGTGCCTGTAGTCCCAGCTACTTGGGAGGCTGAGATAGAAGGGTTGCTAGAGCCCAGGAGGTTGAGGCTGCAGTGAACCATGATTGTGCCACTACACTCCAGCCTTAGTGACAGAGTGAGACCCCCGATTCAAAAATAAGCAAACAAACAAATGAATAAAATGGCCTTTGTATGAGGTAAATACTGAAAATTGCTGCAAAGCCTTGAAAATGTCTGCCAAGTGACTCCTTTTAGGAAGGAGCAGACCAGTTTTTATTTTTGCCCTTCCTTGAGATGTCAGAATTAAAAGGGACAACTTCAGGTGTTATTTCCCTCTTGAAAGCTAACAGTTTTTCAGATGTGGCAAAATCTGGGCCACAATGTGTTCTTAAAATAGAAACTGTGACAGGTCAGCAGGTTGGCTCCTCTGTAGTTATTTATTCCAAACAACCAATAACATGTTTCCTTGTAAAGCAGAGAAACTGTTTGGATTTTTTTTGCCCAACAAAAAATTAAAATTTATTAATAGAGTTCTTTCTGCTAGGGAATTAGGATTATTCAAACCTCAAGGGAGAAAAGCCCAGTTAAGAAATAGGGAGTTTAAAGCTTTTATTTTTTTTCTCAGAATTTGAGCCACAGCATTTGCTAAACTCAGATTGATGCTCAAAATGGATTGTTTTCAATAACTCAGATCACCAGGGAATGAACTCTAACATGTCAGGGCATTTTCCTGGTATCCAAACTCCTTTCACACATTCAACTTCATGGTAGCTGTATTGGATGAAAATCTTTCTAAAGTGGACTCTACTTTTACTTGCCTTCCCATAGCAGGTAGGCATGGTGGACATCATTTTACCTTTTCTGATGGTCAGGTCTTTGATACAAATTCAGCAATGCCTTTGGGAGGCTTGTGAAATGTGCATAGCCATTGTCTCTACACCAAAGACCCAGCCTGGCACATTTTGTGTGGTCTTGTGTCTACTTTCATGCCTTCACTTAACCTATTAGTTGCTCTCAGTCCTCCTGTTTCTTGTGACCCTTTCCTAACTCTATATCTGCACCACCAAGATTGTTAATATTTACTCAAAATAGGAGTTAGTAAGAAGTCCCCAAGGGTCTCTCTGCCTGTGTCTTTGTGTATGGACTTGAAATGTCCATTTCTGATTGCTTAGAAGGCCCTTGGCTCACTCCATGAGTTTTGACTGTATTCTGGAAAACTGCTGTTGCATGTTTCACACTTTGTAATTTACAGGGACAGATCTGACAGGGTCCTGTTTGGCAGGGTGGCCCAAAATGGCCCTGCTAGCCCAGAAGGGCCTTTTGTATCTCCTGCCTGGGATGGGCTTTGGGGCTGCTCTGCGACACATGCTTCTCTGTCCAGGGCATTTTGAAGACCAGGCTCGGAAACACTGACCTTGGCGTTTGCTGTTGAGGAAAGGTTAAGGATGTGCTCCCTAACAGCAGGAAGTGGCTCCTGCCCATTGCTGCCCTGAGAGTGGAACAGAGCCCCTGGCTGTCCTGCCTCTCAGCCCTGTGCCTCTCTTTTCATTTCTCTTTTCCACCCACACTTTGTGTCCTCTAGCCTCCTGCACTGTCCTTGTTCACCTGCTCTTCATGGGATAAAGCAAACTTTCTGCCACCTGCCTTGGCCCCAACAGCCCAATGCCTGTGTTGGGAGGAGGGTCTTGGAGAATTCTAGAGAGAAGCTCACGTGTAAGCCCCTTGAAGACAGGAAGAACCCCTCTGGTTTTTCTCTGTAGTCCCCTTACGTCACTGAGAGAGAGTGAATGCCAGTTACCTTGTGGTCACCCAGAATCAGGCATATACAGAGGCTCAGAAAGGGAAATGCCTCCTTGGCTGATGAGATCTATGGTTGCTCAAAAGCCCTGAGGATGCTGAGCTGTGGAGTCTCCTCAGTAAGCCAAGTGGAACCTGGAGTCTCCCGAGGGGCAGGCAGAAGCAGGGTCAGGACCAATTCTGGCTGGCTGTGGGGCTACCAGGCACAGGGAGTCTCAGCTCCTTGGTTAAGTTGCATGGCTTCTCTGAGCCTCATCTTCCTCATCTCTGAAGCATGACCATAACCACCTTACAGGGTTATTTCAAGGACCAAACGAGGGAACCAGAAATCTAGCTCATGTTGCTTCCTGTCTGAGGGACTCTCAACTGATGTGAATCCTTGGAGAAGAGCTGTGAGGGAGGGATGGTCCTGTGGCCTCCAGGTGGGTGATGAGACTAGACTCCAGAGAAGGCTCATTGCCGTCCCAACCTGCTTCTGGCACTGATTGACAATTTGTATTAAAACCAATGTCTTCACCTTTCCAAACCTCTTAACTCTAAAAAATAGGATAATACGGTCCACTTAACGAGAAGTAATGAATTGTGAGAATTGATTGAAATTACGTATTACGTGGAAGGATCTCTAACAGTGCCTGGCATGTAGTCATGTTTAGTCAGTGTTCCACTTTCTGTACAACTATGCTTTGTCAGGGTGAAGCCCAGCTCTATGAACCTAGCTTCGTGGAATGGCTGCATCAGTTAACCAGTGGCCAGATTAGTTTGGGCAAACTAACTTGAGTCAGTCAGAAATGTTCCCTGTTGCTGGTGATATCTTTCTGATGAGGCATTCCTCAGCTAGTTGACTTTGGCATAGATGGGGGGTGGAGAACAGGGCATGGGAAGGGCCTGGTAATCCTGTGAGTTGGTTTACAGAGAGCTGGAAAGTTCGGAGACCTGTGTTTAAGGCTGGAGAGGCACTCCCAGTTGGCACCTCTGAATTCCAAGGGGCCTCCTACCTGTTGTGTGGGAGAATAAGAAGCTGCCCCTTTCCTCATGAGTACAGCAGCCTTTAGAACAGTAACCATGGAATCATGGTCATCACTTAATGGTCCCTTACCCTAGGCAGGGCACTTTGCTAGGTGCTTTAAATGTATCGTATCGAATCTTCCCAACAACCTTGCAATAACTTATTCTCCCCACTTTACAGATAAGGAAGCTGAGGTCTTTGATGTCCTGAACCGTTCAGGGAGAAAGTAGTGGAGCTGAGATTCAAGCCCATACTGGCCACCTGACCAGAACCTATATGCTGGGCTTTTCTCCACAACTCAGGCAGAAAAGAGAGAGCAGGCAGGGTCTAAATTAACATGGACCTTAAGGCTACCTGGCAGTTGAGGTCTACAAACTGGTTGTCAAGGGTGGAAAATCCTTTGTCATTGCCAATTTTAGTTTCAGAAGCAGAGTTAAGTGGTATGTGTGTGTGTTTGCTTCCTCACGTACAAGGGCCAGTAACTCACTAGGCGATTCAAGCTGTCATAGCAGTCTCCTCTTGTGACAGAGCCTGTGTCCCATTGGCTAATACCTCACACCCAGAGGCCCAGAGAGAGGAGTTAAAATGCTAATTTTCAGGGACTGCTCAGCCATTTTGATCCCATTAAAACACTAGCATCCTTCTCATGCAAAACTGGTGCCTCAATTACCAACTAATTGCCTGATTATTGTGCAGGGATAGGAGACTTCAGTCAGTAAGGGGCTGCTGTCATCCCAGAGGAATGACTGAATTAGTGTGGGAATGTATGTGCCATCTAGGTTTGGCTCCGGAGGAGATGTGCCAGAAAGCTGATCCAGAAGTAAGACAGAGGGGATAGTAGAAACTCAGCTGCCCTCCTCAGTTCCTGGTGTCTCCTTCAGTTCCCCGAGGTGACCTCTTGCCTTTTCTTCCCACATCAGGTGCTGGAGACATGTGTGAAGAACTGTGGCCACCGCTTCCACGTCCTTGTGGCCAACCGAGATTTCATCGACAATGTTCTTGTCAAAATCATCTCTCCCAAGAGCAACCCTCCCACCATAGTACAGGACAAAGTGCTTGCTCTGATACAGGTGGGTTGGATCTCTTGCCTAATTTGTTGGGACAGAATAAGGTGATATCTTTTATTGATGAGTCTTTATGCTCTCCCACCCTTTGGAGGAAAAATGAAGGCTTCTGAATTTAAGTGTTTGGTGCAAAGTACTATTAAAAAAAAACTCATTCCACTGAAATAAATCAGTGACTCTCCAGCCAGTTGACAGAGCCTTCGTGAACCTTTCTGAGTGCCTGGCCCTCTGCTACCCACAAGGGCATGTTGGGGTGGGGGTTGCTCAGCAGGCTTCTAAGACACTGTGGAGTAGGAAGGGCCATATTAGAGCTGTGTGCAGGGTTGGTGGGATCACAAGGCAGGGTCTGACTTTGGTGCAGGCAGAGCAGGATGCAGGATTGGTGTTAAGAGATATTTCACTGAGAAGGTGATATTTCTGTTGGACCTTGGAGAATTATGGAGAGCTTGGTGGAAAGGTCAGAGTGCAAAAGGTATCACAGGCAGAGGGAATAGCATGTACAAAGGCCCAACTTCATCAGTTTACACATTCGGGATGTGTTTATTATTATTTGCTCTATAACAGATTGCCCCCAAACTTAGCAGCTTAAAACAACAAATGTTCATTATATCATGGTTAATGTGGGCCAGGAATTCAGAAGCAGCTAGCTTGGCGATTCTGGCTTGGAGTCTCTCTTGAGGTTGCATCATCTGAAGGCTCAACTGGGGCTGGAGGCTTCACTTCCAAGGTAGCACACTCACATGGGTGTTGGCAGGAAGCCTTGATTTCTTGCTGACTTGTCAGGAAGCCTGCATTTCTCATCAAGTAGACATCAAGATAAGGTCTTGATGACTAATCTCAGAAGCCACATATCATCTTTTCTGTCATATTCTATGTATTTGAAGGGAGTTACCAGGTCCATCCTGAAAGAGTAGAGAACTTAAATCCCACCTCTTGAAGAAAGGAAGATCAAATAATTTTCAGATATGTTATATATTGGGAAGAGGATGTAATGAAAAATATCTGGGGCCAAGCTTTCAGGGGGAGCAGGCAGAAGATGGAGCCAGAATGTTGATCAGAGGCTTATGGCCATGGGTGCTAAGGAATGGTGCTTGATCCTATAGGTGGTGGGATGCCTTTGCAGGTTTCTGAGCTGGGGTGTACACAGACCTGGATTTTAGACAGAGCACCTGATGACAGGGCAAAAGGCACATAAGTGAGCAAGCACATCCAACCTGGGTGATCTGTGCCTGTGGCAGAAACAAGGACCTGCAGGAGCCAAGAGGAGAGACCAACCCAAGGGGTGGGTGAGAGGCTCCAGCAGGGCGAGGGGGGCCAAGAAGGCAGGAAGCAGAGTGATCAGGGTGGACAAAGGGGCTCTTGAGGTGGTGTTGGAGCTTGCGAGTCCCTAACCAAAAAGCCTATTGCCACTGTCTGTTCTCAGCACCTGTGTTCCATCTGCCTGAGTCCTTCCTCAGCTCTTAGAGCAGTGGACTCCTCCTCTTCATCATTTAGCTGTGCCTCAGAGGCCGCCTGACTACTGGTTTAAACACACGCACATCCTCTCTCTCACATCGCACTCTTTTATGGTCTTCAGACTCGGCTTTGCTAACTTTTCTTTTGTCTGCCTCACTCTCAGTTCCCTGAGAACCCGGGGACATGGTGTCCCCAGGGTCTGGAAGTTGAATGTGTGGAGTGGGTGTTCAGTAAGTATTTTTTTAATGAGTAGGTGAATGTAGTTCACTGTAGCTCTGAGGAAGGGGAAGAGTGTGACAGCAGAGCTCCCTCCATGCTTTCCCTAGGGTTGTCCCTGTCTCCCCCTCCCACCACTCTGCCCACCTGGCATCTCGTGTGCTCTCTCAAACACATATGTGTACATTCACACACATGTGCACTCCATCTCCCCACACTCCCCCCACCACAGCCCTTTTTTTCTGGGGCTACACTTCTGTGTCTCAAAACTCTTAGGAATCTGGAAAACAAATGGTGGTTTCCTCTCACAAAGGTGAGGCTCCCCATCATGAACTTCTTGTGCAGAGACAGCTCTTGCCAGGGCCCACAGTGGCTGCACACCTGGAAGGAGCACTTCCTGGGTGAAAGCTTCCTCACCCTGAGGCCTGCCTAGGCCTAGTGGGGAGGTCAGCCCACCTGTGGCAAGCACAGCTATCACAGGGTCATGTTTTTCACTGCCCTTTCTGACTATGTGGAGACCCTGACTGAGAGCAAACAGAGTCTTCGGCACTGGCTGTGCCCCACATCTCTATCCAGAGGATGCCCGTCCCTGAACACCCTGCCCTCGCCTTGAACACCCTTTCCATAGGGATCACCCCCAGGTTTCAGCTCCCTCCAGCTTCTCCCCAGTCCTACTTCTGACCTCAGGCAGGTGGGGTGATTTATCTGGGCATCGCCCTCCTTACACCTGCCTGCCCTCAGCCCTGAGCCAGTTAGATCAGCCCATGCAGTGCAGAGACCTGCACCATGTTACGAGGCCTCCCCCTGCTGGCCTGGTAGCAGCAGTGGGTACTGGCAGTGGGGCCCTGAGCAGAACAGGGCCTTGAGGAACCTGCAGGATCCCACCTAGCTGGACACACCGGATACAGTTCCCTGGCCCAGCTGTGATTTGCAAGGACTTCGGGTTAGGGTCTTCTTGGGTGAAGGTTGATGACCTAACTGGGGAGCGTCCCCTTCTCCAGGTTTGCAGTGTTCCCGAGGAATTCTCTCCTTTGATCATGGCTGCCCAACAGAGAACAGCAGGCAGTGCCCAGCTGTGGAGGGCTTGGCCTCTGTAATGGGTGAACCAAAAGAATAAACACGATCAGCCAGGCTCGTGGCTCAGCCTGTAATCTCACGCTTTGGGAGGCTGAGGTGAGTGAATTGCCTGAGCCTGTGGGTTCGAGACCCGCCTGGGCAACTTGGCAAGACCTCATCTCTACAATAAATCAAAAATCAGCCGGGCGTGGCAGCGTGTGCCTGTAATTCCAGCTACTCGGAAGGCTGAGGCGGAAGGATCGCCAGAACCCAGCAGGTCAAGGCTGTGGTGGCCGGGAGTGGCCACTGCACTCCAGTCTGGGCGACAAAGTGAGACTTCAACTCAAAAAAAAAAAAAAAAAAGAATAAACACGATCTTTAGCCCTTTCTTTTTTAAACTTTTTTTTTTTTCTTAAACTTTTTATTATAATATATGTACAAGAAATCACATAAGAGTGCATACAATTTGACCAGGAGCAGTGGCTCACACCTATAATCCCAGCACCTTGGGAGGCCAAGGTGAGAGGATTGCTTGAGCACAGGGTTTTGAGACCAGCCTGGGCAACATAGAAAGACCTCATCTCTACAAAAATAAAAAAAATTCACTAGGTGCAGGGTGCCTGAGCCCAGGAGATCAAGGCTGTGGTGAGCCATGATCATGCCACTGCACTCCAACTTGTGTGACAGAGTGAGACCCTGACTCAAAAAAAAAAAAAGTGCATACAACTTGATAAATTTTTACAAACTGAGCACCTAACCATCCTGAAGCAGAATATAACTAGCACCCCAAGACTTCTCACCCCTAGGGTGATCACTTGCCTGACCTCTCACAGCATAGGTGCGTTTTCTCTGTCCCTGAACTTAATCTGCATGGGCACCTACTTCAGTGCCCATTCGCTTCTGCTGTGGCTGGCTCTGTTGTGTTTGTGAGTGTCATGGGCGTTGTTGCCTGTGGTTGTAGGTCTTTTGTTCCCATTGCAGTGCCAGGTCCCATTGTGTGAATACACTACAGTTTTTTAATTTGTTTAATTAATTAATTAATTTTTAAATTTTAAAGATGTAGGGTAGAACTCAGGATTAGGCACATAAGTGGTCATCATACAGGTCAAGTTTGAGTCTCCCATTGCTACAATTTATTTATCCCTCCCACTGTTGTTGGGTACACAGTATTTGCAGTTTGGGGCCATAATGAAAACTGCTTTTTGGGGGGCTTGCATACGTATTCACTTTTATTGGGAATATGTTACACTGAATATGTTGAAACTGCCATCTTTGTTGGTCAAAAATGGTCCAGTATTAGCAATTTTATATGTATCTTCCTAACACTAGGCATGATGTTGCCAGGTCATGGCAAATGCCCATGCTCGGGCTTGATTCTTCCTCCAGCCTGCAGGTGTTTGGGTTGCTCTACCTACTCACTAACATATCCTATTTCTCTTTTTTTGTTGTAGCTCATCTGATGAGCATGGAGTGGTCTTGCATCAGGTCAACTATTTTTTTTTTTTTTGAGTTGGGGTCTCACTCTGTCGCCCAGGTTGGAGTGCAGTAGCACACTCATGGCCACCCCAGTGTCGACCTACTAGGCTCTGGCGACACTTCCACCTCAGCCTTCCAAGTAGCCAGAACTACAGGCGTGAGCTACCATGCCTGGCTGATTTTTTGATTTATCGTAGACACGAGGTCTTGCCAAGTTGTCCAAACTGGTCTTGAACCTGTGTGCTCAGGCAATCCACTTGCCTCAGCCTTCCAAAGTGCTGGGATTATAGACTGAGCCACCAAGCCCAGCCAGGTCAACCATTTTTTAATTCCTTTGAGAAAAAAAAATTGTATGTTGAATATACTTTTAAAAACTGCACAAGCTCCCTGGAAATTCTAATTCCTCCTGGAGAGAAAGTGCAGCTCCCACCATGAAACAAGAATGTTTCTGGATGTTAGGCCTTTGTCAGATGCATAATTTACAAATTAAAAAAAGAAAGAAAGAAGAATGGAGCTAGCTGGTCTCGGTGGCTCAGCCTGTAATTCCACACCTTGGGAGGCTGAGATGAGTGGATTGCCTGAGTCTGCGGGTTTGAGACCCACCTGGGCAACTTGGTGAGACCTCATCTCTACAATAAATTAAA